AAAAAAGCGTTTTTGTTGCACTCCAACGCTGAACCTTTCATAACTAACTTCAATCGTATGTCTGCATTTCACAGATGACTTTTACACAGCCGCAGAAATATATAGTACAGACTCTACTCAGCTATTGCTCTTCTTCCAGGAATGCAACCTCCACCACCTCCGATCTGCATTTCCCGAGTTTCGCGCTACTCACGAATGTGGCGCCATTTCGACGTAGGATTGTACCGATTCTTAAAGAATCAGGTTAGTAAACACCCCTCAGAACCTTCTCCCAATTCAGAGCAATTTCAGGTGTACATTCCACTTCTAAGCCATCAACTTCCCACAGTCTTGGCTATGCTCCGAAATCTTGCTACTCTCTTTGCAGTTTTTGGAGTGGTCCTGGCTTGGCACGGCATAAGAACACACTACATCTGTTGGGTGTGTAATAAAACAACGTCAAAAGAGATCTCTACTACTTGAGATTTACAGGTGTCGCTATCAGCGTTAGAGCTTGTTATGGAAAGACTTGGTAGTGTTTTATGGAGGACTAAAACCTCCCAGGAGTTTCGAAGTTCACTTGGAGACGTTAATACAAGAAGGCTTATGGCAGTTTTAATGGTAGCTACTGTTATTCCAGGTGGGCCTCAAAAAACCATTAATGTAGGAATTTACGAAGAATGCAAGTTAGAATGAATTTAGCGGTTTGTTCTAAATAACTGGTTTCCAGGAATATTCGGAGTGTTCTTTTTCTTGGGAGTAGATGGTGTTGGATCAGCAATCTTTGAAAAACTTATCATTCAAGGAGTGAAAGATATCCTATCTTTCAACGTGCTTCCCATGAGGTATAAATATCACTGCGAACTTCATTGATTTAAATTCATGTTTTTCAGCACTGGCTTCATGATTTTGCACATGGTGTTCCTTGGATACTTCTACAACAATGTATGCATGGAATTTGATGAAGCTCCTACCACGAAAAAAGAAGCAAAACAAGAATGACAATTTCAATAAACGTACATAATAACAATTTATCGGGCAAAACAAAACAGCACCCAAAACAATAACGCCTTAACCTCCCTTCTTCTTGGACACACCAACAGTGCGTCCCTTGCGTCCAGTGGTCTTCGTATGCTGACCCCGCACGCGGAGACCCCAGTAATGGCGAAGACCTCTGTGCAGGCGGATCTTCTTCAGGCGCTCAAGATCCTCACGGAGCTTGTTGTCAACAGCTGTGGAGAGGAGCTAAAAAGCCACAATGATACTAGGAGAAATACTCATAAACATGTAGCTCCTTGGGTCATTACACCGAAAGAGAAACTCCTACTGGAATTTTTCAACAAAAAATTGGAAACACGACAGCAGTTCAGTAGATAAATAATCTTATCATGTTAAAATCTTGACTCAGTTTTATAATTTCGAAAAAAGTACCAATACTTAAAAAGAAGTTACAATTTCGAAACATATGTTAAGCTACTTTTCTCTCCAATTGACTATCACTTCGTGCATACGAGTGTGGAACAACGTATATTACTTATTCAAAAGTGAAAAGTTATGTGTACATAGACTTGAAGGTTGACACTGTGCTTCTTTGAATGAATGGAAAAAACACAAACTAGGTTATTAAGTGCATATCAACGATTTCGCAGAACGCTGTAGATTTGAATCACACGAAGTTTGGCAAATTTCAGTAGTTTGATGTAACTCTTGTTAAGAAGTAACTATCTGCAAACACAAACAAGCAAATTTAGAATATTTAGTCTAACTTCGTAAGGAGTTTTTAGTTTAGATAAAATGTACAAGAGCGCATGTGCAAGAATGAGCCAAGCAGACTGAATGATGAGGAATAAGTATAAATAAGATAGAGGATACTTATACTATTTACATCTCTATAAACAAGATTTATAGGGCAACGACACAGATGAATAAGAAGAGGATGCGCAGTCAAACTACCCCTCTTTTGAAGTTTTATACAACATGATCTCAGCAAGATTCATGTCTTGACAAAAGAACAGATTTCTTTAGCGAGATATTTATTAAAAAGTGGAGTGGATAGTCCTCTTCCTGCGAATACATGTGCATAGATATCTATATATGATCGACGAAGAGTGGGAAAATGTGATATCAAAAGCAGAATGTAAAGACATTGCAAGTTCAAATTTTGAGCTTATTTTCACAGGAGAAAATAAGATGAAAACCACGTCACTTCTGAGACCAATCTTGCGGAAGTCAGATAAGGAGATTGAAGCTGTACGCAAAGAGAATTCCAAAGATCACTTTTACTACCAATTTTCGTACGAACATTTCGCCGTTGATTTAACACGTATTCAAATGAACTGATGGCCTACGAGTTGACTTCTTACAAACGATACTTAAAAAATACCCGCAGTTGACAATTTTCAGTTGTATCAAAATAAATCTAGACAGATGCAGATTGCTACTTATATAAAATGTTCTTCGATATGGAACCACACTGCTCGAGAAACAACATGGATAAAAGTCGAAGTCTGATCTACGTCAGCAGTGACCCTCACAACTAATAATTTGCAAGGAAAAAAAACTGACGTTGAAAAGTATCAACGAGAAGAGGAGCATAAGCAAACCTGCGAATATTTTCCGTCCTTGATATCCTTCTGCCTGTTCAGGAACCAGTTTGGAATTTTGTATTGGGACGGATTTTGCATAATGGTAACAATCTTCTCAAAGTCGTCCTCAGAGAGCTCTCCTGCACGCTTGGTTACATCAATATCGGCCTTCCGGCAGCAAAGGAACGCGAAACGACGGCCAACACCCTAAAGATAGAAAATTGTTGTTCAAAAAACTTCTTGGGTTAAACTTTGATTTCATGTTGAAAAAACAAATCACCTTAATGGCTGTGAGAGCGTATGGAACCTTGCGGTTTCCGTCGATGTTCGTGTTCATAACACGATGGATGTGTTGAAACTTCTCCGGAATTATCAACGACATGACGTCGTGTCTATTACCACTATAATCAAAATATTACCAGCTAAAGCAGCTCCTTTGACTTAAAGTTGAATAGAAGAAAACAACATTACATCAACTATTACAATAAGGTTGAAAAGCTATACTTTAACAAAAAATAGACAACATATGCAAAAGAACTCAAAAATCTTTTTTTATTGACTGGATAATAAGGTATCATAAACTTAACAACATGAGACAGCCCATTCTTGTTTGAAAGTTAATAGCGGAAAAAAGCAGCTCCAAGAGCTACCGCAAAAGCAAGACCTGGCCTCAACTCAACGGAAGAATGCAGAACAAATAAAAAGCGAACTTCCAGAAATTTCGAATAAAACAACTCGTTAAAAACAAAAGCTAACCACAGAAAAATATGCAGCTGAATTAAAAATGTGCTAATGTGAGTTTCGCTGCCTACTGTAACTTTTCGTCCAAGGAATAGCGCCGAAACAGTGACACTGTCCTATAACCAGGCCGCTGGGACCTTGCAGTTCGGCCGCCCTTTAGTCCATTTTTGCATTTCTTGTGATTTTGAAGTTAATTCTTCATCATTTTCTGTGATTTTAGTGCTCATCCAAAACACATTATATATTGAAATCTTACGAATAGGCTCTCATTTTGTAAGATGGCCTCAGACTGCGGTAATTTGCAGAAATGTGTTCTCGTTTGTAGTTGATTACGGTAGCGTGTTGGCAGATCGCGCTTTACAGAGACGCGCCGGAGTTGGTGAGCGCCCCGGGTTGTCGGCTCTGTCTGTGTATTTGCTGCGTGACTTCTTCTTTGGCCGCCCTCTCTATAGTAGTGTTTTAAGGATATAGGCAACCAATAGCATAAGGATGGGAAGTAAGTCGTATTACTAGCTTTTTACCACATTCCCATTGAGACTATTTGTTTCCTTTCAGTAAAATTCCTCGAGTTTGTAAAGCCGTTCTGCGGCTTTGTGCCGGAAGTATCGAAACCGGAGCGGAAGATTCAATTCCGAGAGAAAATGCTATGGACAGCAATCACTCTATTCGTTTTTCTTGTTTGCTGTCAGATTCCTCTTTTCGGTAACTTCTGCTCCTTTGCCTCCAGTAAGTAGT